AACAACGTTTTTCATTTATTTATCATTATTTTCTTTTTATTTTCTGTATCATTGCTATATTTAACGTAACACGATAAAATAATTCGGTACATATAGCATTGCAGACATTTTAGAATTTTCTAATTAATTTCGTATCGATGATGTTCGAATTCGAGAAATCCCCGATTCGATATTACATCAAAGTCTGTGTAAGTTTGATTGGTCTGAATCTACTTTATCAGCCGCGACCGTGTTATCAGTATTACCGCGATCAGGTATCAGTCACGTAATTAGATCGTCCATAAATTGACGGTAAATGTCAAAGCATGAAAGTAATGTCATTAGCGGGGTTAACGAGTTGCCAGATATTACATCAACGTCGATGAATGTGCGGTAATCGTTTCCAAATGATAATCCTCTCGTTATGTAAATTCATTTCGACGAAAGGAATTAATAAAGAGAAATTAAGGTGGTAAAAAGGAACGTACCAGGGTGGATTAAATATAGACGAGATTGTTTGCAATACTCTTTGTTCTTTTTTCTTTTATGAACTTTACACACTAAAACCACCCCCGCACCTGCTTGGAAGCTGCGGGGGAGATGTAGAAACTCTTGCTAACACTTCCGACGCCCCCTAAAATAAACTTAAATAATATGTGATCGTAAAAAAAGAAGGCAATAATAAAAAATTTGTATAGCGAATTTCTATTCTTAGAACTTGGACTTAGAACGAGGCCTTCTGGAAAATTAGGTCCAAAGCTTCTCTTAGATCTTCCCTTGATTTGGCGCTGCTGAAAACAATGATAATTAGAAAAGAAAATAGCAAGATGCAAAATGTTAAGGACAGCGACACGAATCTCTATTTCTGATATTGTAAATAATTGTCATGTATTTCTCCGTTGTTTACTGCCAATAAATCCCCCTTTCGTCAAGGTTTGGAGTCCTATCTTGTGCTTTCAATAGTTATTGACGCAAATACGTATGGGTGCCAAATTGTGGTTTACGAATTGCAGGTCATTTTTCTAAATTGAGGACATGCAATATTATGTACCTGCATTATGCAAAAACCCTTTACAATCAATGTAAGTTAATTGTTTATAAATACATGGTCTTTAGACCCGAAGGAAGTAGAATTGTAATTAAGAAAGGACTTTGAACTTCTAATTCTCATAAAGTACTTGAACATTGTTATAAGTGGACTTATTACGGACTCTGTTATAAGCGAACAAAGTTTGCGTGTGCTGTAAATAACAAAACTTCTTGTTTGTTACAACTATTATGAAGTAAAGTTTCTTCAGTGTCTACTGTGTTATGACTCCGGTACGAGGCGAGTAAAACTGTGCTAGGTACTCGTTAATCACTTTTAGTGTAATTAGTACTAAGATGATTGATCTGAAGGATATTAGTGTACTGAACAGATCCTTTGTCTAAATGACTAAATTAAACGATAACATACTATCCATATTATTATTTTATCAGAAATTAAATCCAAAGAATATTAGCCAAATTGTAGTAGAAAAAAGATACTATCATTACTAAATAATCGGGTACATAATAATTTTCTACCACATAATAGTGAACTAATGATGAATTTTTTCTTTAAAAAAATGAATGCGATAGCAATGCAATAATGCAGTGTTGATAGAACAAAGCTCTCGTTATTGAATGATCATAGTTAGCTTCATAAAAATGAATCTCGACTGCTGTTTAACTTTTGTCATTCGTCGGATCGGTACATACACATCCTTTTAGCGGTAGGAATTTGTTATTAGCCGATGCATTATGCAATCTCGCGTAATTGCATTCCGGACACTAAGGATGCGCCGTCCTTTGTGTCACTTTTACTTGGCATAATTCCGGAAAGCCATGGCAGAGAAATAACACGACAGATCGATCATCCTGGAACGAGTAACATATCGACGTGTATAATTGCATAACATAAAATCAAATTATGTCACGTAACGCGAACGATAATGCTATAAATAGTCGGTTTACACGAACGCCCGTGTATCGAGAAGAAAACGCGTTTCTATTTGATAGACGACCGCGACTCGAGGAATCCGGTTAATGTCCTTCATTGTCGATCAGAGACATTTTTCTCTCGTGAGACAAAGTTTTCTTTAGAGCGTACGCGTGGCAAGATCGAACGATGGAATGTTATGGTTTTATCCGACAGAATGTTATCTGACAAGTTTAATTTATCATCGAACCTTTCTGATACAGAAAGAAGAAGTTGTTTGAATCGTGTAGGATCTCGTTTCTTCTTTGCTTTTAATGAATTTAATTCGTAGACAACGAACCATCGACAGTGAATTAATCGATAACATTTTTGAAATATTTTAATTATTGGTAGAAGTAACTTCAAATGAATAATATCAAGCCATTTGCGACGGAAAGTTTTTAATCGCGTGTGTGCATAGTAATTGACTCACGAAGTGGCCAATCAGTCGAGGCGTCATATTTTTCAGTCGTGTTTGGAAAACACTACTGTAGCTGGATTATTCCATCGTCTGGGATTGATTGCTACCATCGAAACCAAAGTTTCCGTGTAATTAATTATTCACGCGGTTTGGTAAATGAGGCATTCTGCGGTGAAGGAAAACATTAACGCATTCTTATTCAATCATAACATCTTCAGAATATTGCTGTTAATTAGGTAATTAAGTTTTGTTACGAAAAAGCAAAAGAAAGAGGTGTGAGGTATGGAAGCATCGGATTGAGCATCGGAAGATTCCTTAGGCAACAAAATGGGAGAGCTAAAGAGAATTGGGAGACTTAAGGAAAATTAGGAGCTAATGAGACCTAAAAGGGCAGGGAGAGCTAAGGAGAGCTAGAAACTGTTAAGGAGAGCTAAAGGGAGCCAGGGGAAACTAAGGAGAGCAAGAGAAAGCTAAGAACATACAGAAGGGCTGGGAGAGCTAAGGAGAGGTAAGGAAAGCTAAGGAAAACTAGGGAGAGCTAAGGAGAGCTAGAGGGAGCCAGGGGAAACTAAGGAGAGCAAGGGAAAGCTAAGAACATACAGAAGGGCTGAGAGAGCTAAGGAAAGCTAAGAGGAGCTAAGGAGAACTAAGGAGAGCAAGGGAGACCCAGAACAGCTGGGAGAGACTAAGGAAAGCTAGGGGAGCCTAAACTAAATAGGATCTCCTGTCCTCACATGTAGAGAATATGGATATACATGTTCTCATACATTTTATTTTAATTAAGAAAAATAAAATGTTAGTCCAAGTAAACATTGCAAGCCTAAGTTCCACGTGACCATACATCGCAAATACTTGATCAGATTACATAGCTGCAATCTTGCTGACTTACCCAGATGCTCCTAATATTTCTTTGATGTATAAGTCATTAATTTATAAAAATTGACAGCTTGAAATTATCACCTCAGTCAGTCTGAACAATATTCTTATCATTTATTTCTGCGACTCAGAAGGCGTGAGAACCTTTAAGTTTTTCATCGATATTGGCACTAATAGAAAAGCAAAAGGCACACACACTTATGCGTAACATTTTCATAACAGACTGGCCAACGGATCCGATGTCAGCTGCAACTGTTATGTGGAACGATATTGCCATGCAGTTATCAATAATGCTAGGAGACTCGTGCCTTTTCCCTCTATTCTATTTATGGCGGAAAATCTATAACGAGGCAGAGGACGTGGTGTCGGGTTATTGACTGAAACGTTCGTTGCGATACGTTACGTAAAGTCTGGTACAACTGTGGGCGAGCTTCTACATTGCAGTTACCGATCGTTTCCGTCTCGAACATTTACCATTATCGCACGTGTATCAATGAACACGTGCTCGTCATTTGGTAACCCGTTGCAATAACTGGATTTGATGCAATTGAACTATTACTTGAGATTTAATCGATTTGATTTATGAGAAGTTCATAGGTGATCCTCGACGATTTCAATAAAATTTGATGGATCTCTGTATATTTAGAATTGAATCAAAGAAGTTAGAGCTAATTAGAGAAAATTGAACTACTAAAATTAGCTCCTTTATCAATTTTAATTAAGAAATCCTTTTCATAAAGAAATATTTGAAAATAAAATTTGGTAATTAAATTTCTTGTAAAAGAATAATCATTTAAATATGTAGAACTCTGATTTTCAGAAAATTAATATCAGAATTGTTCCTAATTTCAGTTTAATTATGATGAATTTAATGTGTCAATTTGTAGATCCTTAATCGTTAAAAAATTGTCTTAAATCTTGGAACGTGGGGTAATTTAAAATATCATCGCCTATCTTTATGCTTGGTGGTTTAACAAATTAATAATTGACGTTTCTTCAACGTTTTGTTTTATTCGATGATATAACGTTATCTGGAAAGTTATCTTAATTGGTAGTTTCCGAGAATTTCGAGTAGAACCTGTGGTAGGATACGCTTCTGTTCAAACTCGCGTGAATGTGAAAGCGACGAGAGTTATTCGGACACGACATCCTTTCTGTCGTCGTCGCCATTGTTCACGGAACTGTCGCGGGAAATTTCTTTTCGTTGGATTACCATGCGTCACGGTGCAATCGCGACAGGAATTCACGATCCTTACGTGACTGTCGCTGCTACATTCCCAGGATCATTTCAAAACTTTTCCAGCTTTGTTTCGCGATTTTAGTCGACGATTACAAAATTCGTTCGTACCTGGTTGTAAACGACGCGTGTGACAAATAAAAAAAGAAAAACAATACCTATTTTAATCTTATGCGTTTAACATTGAACGATTTCAATTAACCCTCGGACGGCAGACCATGGAGAGAGCCACGATTTTAATTTAATTCAATTATTTTCTAAATTTTACACTGTTCCTTTAAAAATTGTATATTTAATTTTGGGTTAATATCCTTATATATGTTTTGGAAGGTTCCACTGTTCAAGAGTCAATACTAAATTGTCTTAAAAATTCATCAATGTAGAAATTGTTAATATTTAACAATTTCTATCGAGGAAGTTTTGGGATGATTTAATGTATTTATCATCATCTAAGGTTATTTTAAAGTTTCTTATGTTTTATGTTGCAGTTTGGATGGTAGATCCTGCAAGGACGAAATATACAGGATGGGTATCGGTGCAGGATATTGCGAAGGAAACTTAAACTTTGCCACTGCTTCAGAGGACGACGAAGTTTACACGAAGAAGAAAGTTTCTAGGGTGAGTTTCTGATCAATTGCTATCATAATATTTTTTTAATTACCTGTACTTTCATTCGTTACTCAGTTGGAAAAGCACTTCTTTCTAATGAAATAATTGAAACTTCAACCATGGACAATATTTTTTAAATTATTTGATAAAATTTAATTTTTATTTATTTTAAAATACATAAGACAAAAAACCGTGGTGGATGAATTGCCGCAGTAGATACAGACATTAATCAGACACACGATAATATAAATTATTAAAGATATAAGATTTACTGTTGGCATAATTTTTTTCTCTTTCTTCATTATTTTAATTGTAATTATGACAATGAATGTGTCTAACGTATGCATTACGTGCTTTGATATTAAAAATTGAAAGAAACAATATTTGTTATAACCATCGATTTCTCAAAGATGCCATCATTAATTTTTCTTTTTTATTGGAATCCATATTATTCCAAAATAAAAGTAATATAAGCATAACGAGACATGTTACATATGTCGGAAAATTTAGGGATGACTCATGTTTACCATTGAGCATTTTATCTGTATTGCAACACTGCTCTTTTTTATTTTTCTAAATACACTGATGATTAAATTTGTTTAAAAAAAAAATACAACACTGATTCTCTATAAGGAAACTCTCAGTGGCTATAAAAGAAAGTAATGTCTTCCATATCAATCATTATTTTTGAAGCAAATATTTCGTATACGTCTCGAAGTTACAAAGCATCACGTGTCCAATGAGTGTTCCGTCAGCAGTTTGCTTGCTCAATGCAATCAGTTTTACGTAATACAATATGTAGTAATGTTAACAGTACCTGTTAACAGAAGAAAGTTCTATCAATTAACATTGGCGAAGATTAATTTCACTTAGAAAGCGCCATCTTTACCATAGTTATTACTTTTCTCATTAAAGGCTATGAAATTTTTTAATTATTCAAAGCTGTTTCTCATTTATCAATCTGAATTATATTTAATTAATACTTGATTGATGGAAAATGTATACCCGTCATCGATAGGCAAAAAATCTCCAATTATTTTTGCAATGGTTGGGTATTCTTCGTTGCAATGGCGTTCCCCGAAGGCCGAGAGTCGTCGACGTGGTCAGATTTCACGGCGAGCGTGTCCACGAGGACCGGAAGGCCACGGCAAAATCTGTACGCGAGGAACGGCCGAGGAGACGGTATTTAGGCCAACATAGAGAAAGGTTTTCCGTGTTGTCGAATCAATGGTGACGCAACCGTTGGTCACACTGATGGCGGTCACGTTTCTCGAAAACGACGATTGTGACATCGCGACCAAGCGAAATCGGATCCACCTTGTCGAGAATACGTTGGCCGATCCTATAAATTCGGACCTGCATCGAAGCCAGTTTTTTCGCGCGACTTTTAACACGTTCATTTCTGCCGGTTCATATTTCACCGGAACTTTCACAAATGTTCCTTTCTTCTATTTCACCGTAAAAAGTAGCCATTTTCTTCTTGAATACCAAAATAATCAATTGCTTTTTTAAATTTTTTATAATGATTTCTATGAACTTCTAAGTCGTTTGTAATTCTCTACTAACAGAATATTTATACATAGATTTTCCTAATATAAGAAATTTTCAATTTCCAATTCGGTATTCTCAGATAAGAACCCTGTTCCAAAGTGGGTCAATTATAGCACGCACGGCTATGAAGAAAAATGTAAATCAACCGGTAACCGTGATTAGAGGTAGGAATAAAATTAAAACGAAGCAAAAGTCGATCACCTACGAGCTAATTCCGATTCAATCGACATGTTTTCATTAACTTAAAAAGCAAAAAAAGGGACTAGGAACAAGTTTCAACTGATCGGTCGCGTGATACGGTGACAGAAGTCGCGCTGATAATCGCGCGTAGACGGGTTATCTGGATAAAACTGTCCCGATAAAACGTGACGGAGACGAAGGGAGGCGCGGACGGTTCTGAATTAATATTTACACGCGACGAGCATGCGGCACGATCGTGAAACGATGTATCCTGTTCATTCTGTAATTGCACCGGATCACGTGCAGCGTGCACGTTCAAATCTGGCGTCGAACGGGAGTGTGAAACGCCACTTTTGGCAAGGCAAACTCGATTAGAGCAACGTGGCACGGATATCGGCCCATCGAGGTGGGGTCATTCAAGGCAGCTTGCACAATTGCCCGCTCGTCTGCGTGTCTGCCTGCCTGCCTGCCTGCTGCACTTGCCTTGATGTTTTTAACCGTTTTATGCATTCATGCACGTATGCACGCACGTACGCACGAGTGGACTTCGATGCACGTGTTGCTGATACATCGGAGAAACTGGCGACAAACTCGCGATTAATGCGTCGTATAGATTGTTATTTACATTTCTGAAACCCTTATCCTTTTTTTCTTTCGATTTCATAATGAAATAGCAGCAATATAGTTGTGCTAAATTTTTATTAGATTGTTGCATATCAAACAGTGTGGATTTCGAAGGTTGTGTTTTCGAATGGCCCCACCAAAATTGAGAATTCAGGTTCGGTATATAACCTAAATTGACTACAAAAAACCGATTAGAGTTGGTTTCAGAGCTGGGTGTCTTACCGTTTTCGAGATATCGTGGTAAGGTTAGGTTAGGATAGGTTAGGTTCTATGTATGCGCAGTATCGAATAGCATATGTACAGTAGCGCATGCGCAGTATTATAGAAGCATGCGCACGAAATATAGAAAGTTTGACATGATTTGATAACAGAAAATTATGACAAAATGACGCTTATGGTTTATCAATTTAAAGAATAAAGTTTAAGGAAACCGACTGTACAAATATTTCATCAGTATTCATTATTTAATATTAAACGATTGAAAATTGAATATTCGTTGATGGAAAATACGAAGCTGCGAATCAGTTGATTCATTATTTGTTCCAAAACAGAATCATTCATTTTATGTTCAGAATATTCATCGAATGTTTATATAATTATTTTTATTAATCCTTAAACTTCAATTTGATATATCATAAGTGTTATTTTGTGATACTTTTATGTCATGAAATCGTGTTAGACTTGATACACTTCAAAATCTGTCATTTGATTGACATAACGAAAATTAAAATTAATTTAAGAAATCACTAGTTCTCGTCTTTCTAATAATAAGTGGAAGAACCTGACACAATTCGAAAACAATTTCTGGATATTGTTTCATAACAAACCCCTGTTCTTGAGTGGTTCATAGTTAGTCAAGCTTGGTAATTGTATATCCTTTGACTGTCGTATAAGACTCTACATTATGTCATTCATGATGTAACAATTGCCTGGTGCGTTTATCGTTGCGAGCGTTTAAGTGGAAACGAGGAGTCGTGTAATGAGACACGTATACACCTGTACAGGAATCAGGAAAAGTCTCCCCAGTGTTAATTGGTTTCATCAATTAACCTTCGTAAAGAGATGAGTTCTTTTCATTTGAATAAGAACGTTGTTCTCCTTGAACATTCTCGTCTCCAATTAACCAACCATGTAGAAAGGATACAGATGAATTAAAATCATCGGATAAAATTCCTTCTCGGTTTGGAAAGTGAGAGTTTAGAAAAACATTATATTAACATAAGACGAGTCACTCAGGTGAGTCACGTTTTGTAAAATCAAAGAGAAATATTATTTAATTTATTATCACAGTGAAGTGAAAGATAAGAATTATTTACAAAAGAAAACATTGTATATATAGCACACACTTCAGAAGTTAAATATCATAACAACATTTTTTTAAAAATGTACCTTTTCCATTTTCTCTCAGGAATAATACCATTTTTCTTAGGGAAGCTTACTATGCTCGATGTTGTACATTTAACCCTTAAATGCATAGTGTCTCAAAAACGAAACACTCCCTTTAATTTCTAATTAAAGTACTAACCGTAGTGAAAGTTTTACTTTTGGCTGTATGCCATATTACCTTGGTCCATTCAAACGAAGTATGAAAAAAAAAAGAAAAAAGTAAAATCGCGCGCTTTTCAATATGACATTTACAATTAGACTGATGAATTGTTTTGGCGCATCCGATGAAGTTCGTGAAAGTTAGGAGTGACAATAAAATTAAATTTTTTGGAGATTTATTCTTGCTAAAAAGATATTTTATAGGTGAATAACTATTTTATGCTGATAAGCGTTTTTTTTACTAAAATACGTTGGTGGTTATACTAATTATTTTCTTTTGTATTTTTGCATAAACCTACATAATAATCTACATATAATAGATTTTTTTCGGTCGAAATTAAAAAATCATGCAATTAAGGGTTAAACGTCCAGTGCATATTTTATAGAATCTGCCCCGAGGAAATCTGTCGATAAAATTTTTTCCTCTTCCATTAGTTTCGTAATTTCCATTTTTACCAGAGGTAGGATACTCATCTAGGAAGTGGTAGAAGAGTGACAGGTCCTCTCTAGACTTCGCGACTCAAATAGCTGATTATACGGGTTCAGATTAAAAATGGATGCCTTCCACGATGATTATCGAATGCAGGATGAGCTCAGAGTTTCGAACTTACGGATTCCAGGCGAAACATCTCGTACACCGCTTTCGGTTTTTACGCCTGCGTCCGTGTGTTTCGATACGAAAGTTCAGAATTTCAAGTGGCCCGACGCTCAATGGTAATTCTCGATTCATATTAGAATTTCAAGAATACCAAAGGGATTCAGTGACCCCTTAATTTTGACTCGGGCAACTTTCCAATTCTTCCTCGTGTACAAAACGCGTTCAAACGTTCGTACGACGTTCGTCATTGTTCTTCAATTTGTGTTCCCGTGGAAAAAGGTTCACAGAAGAGATGTTCGATTCCGATTCGATTCTTTAGAAAATTGATTCTTTCGGTAAAAAAATCGATCTTTCGAATCGATTCTTTGGTATTCGATTTTTACCAGAATCGATTCTTTCATGTAAGAATCGAAGATCGATTTTTTGCTCTCTAGGGAATTAATTCTCACTTTTTATATCGACTTTTTGGTTTCGAATTTTTAGAAGAATCGATTTTTGGTGATCCATAAAAACACATTCACTCCTAAAAAAAGTATAAGAATAGCGATGAAAATATAAACAATGTAGAGCGCCTGCTTTTGGTGTAAGAGCACGAAATATAAAAAAATACAAGATCAATTCTTTACAATAATTGATGCCGCACAGAAGAATCGTATGGGATAGTCTGTTTACAAAAATTAAAATAAAAAAGGAAACAAAAAAAGTCAATTCTTTTCAAACCGATTCTTTTTTTTTTAGACCGATTCTTGCAGAATCGATACTTTGGTTTCGATTTTTTAAAGGAATCAATTCTCTCATTCCGATTCAGAATCGATTCTCGAATCGATTCTTTCCGGTGAATTGAACATCCCTAGTTCACACTCACGAGGGAAACTTCTTATCCGGAAGATTCCCCCGTTCCTACTTGACGATCTTAGATAACGTAACTGAGACACTCTTTATCTTTCATCTTGAGTTATTGTTAAAACAGAGAAGTTTGTAAAGTTAATTTATTTCATTAACATATTGACTTCCATAATACAGGACCGGATTAAGATTTCTGGGGTCCAGAATTATTAAACCTTCGAGAGTCCCTTGGTTTGAAAATGAAAATTTATCTATATAAATAAAAATTAAATGCTGTTCGTTGATAAGCGATTCATTTGAGAACGACTAGACCGATTTGGCTAATTTTTTTTTTAAATGTTCGTAATAGTCCGAATAAGGTTTTTAGGGAAAGAAAAATTGGAAAACTTACCCGCTAAAATGGAAAATTTGGGAAAAAATGCAAGTGCTTTTTTTACGACACAATCGTTAATAGATACAATAATCACTCAGAAATACGTTTTTTTTTCATTTTTACTTTGTTTACACATTTCCAATAGCTTTTCACAAATTCACAAAACGATCACAAACAAATTTATTGAAATTTGGACAGAACAACGTCTGTCGGGTAGGCTAGTTCTAGATAAAATTAATTACGTTTAAAATAATTTTTATTGAAAAATTTTCATTTCCATAGTAAATGGAAGGCTTATAACGGAATCTGCTCTTAATTCAACGTCATTGTGTTAAATTTTACCAGAATCTTTTTGGTTTCTTTTCTGTCAAACTCATCTATTCATTCATCAGATTGAAATTGTGTCGGAGAGGTTCGATTGAAACGGAGTATTCGCTAAATGCAGCCGTGGGATTGCGAAATTTTTCGATCCGATTAGTAACATAAGCTCACGCTTATTTTCGTGGAGACACCGGCTTAAAAATAATTTATTTCGCTTCGTCCCGCTCGAATGAGCTGCGCCTCGCCTATCCTTGACTCGATTCTACGGATCGACGCAAAACAGGCTGTTCTCTTATATATCTTTGGAATCGTTACAATTGCCAATTGAGGTTGTCGCCATCGGTGCTCTTGTACAGGTGAAAATCTGCGAATCTTTATCTTCTGCTGCGCAACAAGCACCGTTTTAAGTAATTGCGTAATCCCGATCAGTCCTTTGTTAATCGATCACCGAAAACATCGAGCATCTTCTCTTCGTGGAACTGATCCTACGGTTACGCGATTGTTCAACTGCTTGTGTCACGATGACGCTTGTTTTGTTGGGGATTAACCTCGTAATAGGGAGTACAATTGAGGAAAGATTCACAGATAAATGGGAATATATGACGCTGATTCAATTGAAATTTATTCATTTCAAAAGATATAAGGCGCACTTGTAAGAGTTATAAAAATAAATAAATGTGGTATTTTGGAACTTGGAATTAATTAAAATTAATTTGATAAATAAAGTTAAGTGAATATGATATTTAGAAAATTGGAAGTCTAATTTATTTAGAAATAAAATAAGAAAGTAGGATGCTTAGAAAAATATTAGGAAAAACTATGAAGGTATCAAATAAGTTTTATTACTCGTCCTTCAGGTCATCAAGTTAAAATTTGTTTTCGCCAGGTATTTATTGATACTTTGTTTTTTTCTCTTGATTAGCATCTGAAGCATTTGATGAAATTGCGAGATAAATTGTCAAGTGACTTACTATATCAATAAACAGCAGATTACTATGAATCTTCTGCTTCGTCGATATATCAAATATTGAGATAACTTTACCTTGTAAGTTCTGCTACAATTTATATCAATATCAGTGATATAATTTCGAGTACAATATCTTGCTGGATTAACGACTCTATTGTCTTGTCTTGATTTGAACAAGTAGTTTTCCATTGACCCAACAAGCTCGTGAGGCACTTAGGGTGACTTAGATTTTGCATAGAATCTAACATTCTGTAGAATATTACATAATATTTTATATTGCAGAAAATAATAAAAATTCATAAAATTTACATAGAATTTAACAATAGGTCCAGAAGATTTCACATGACTTAACGTAAGGAAAAGTCACAAGTTAACCGTTTAACTGCGGAGCTAACTTACCAAAAGTGCATTCAGTCAAATGTTACCTAATAAAATAATTTGTCGTCTCCGATTAAAGGGTTAAAAATGTATCGAATTTGTGGATTGTCTTAAAAATTCCACGATTTTCCACGATTTTTCCAATGACGAGTTAACTAAAAAAAAATTTCAATAATATGGACGACGGATTCCTATTGAAATTCAAGCGTCCGTATGTGGGTGTCAGCGAACGAGTTACTCGGAAATATCGTCTTCGACCGATCCTTTTTCCGTTTCACGGTATGGCGGATCTGCTCGCTGGCACGAACGTGATTTTCACACCACCCTGACGATTCACGCGGGGAAATACCTGACTGGATTCTCGGTCATGGCTCCGGCAATGAGTCAGGGTCTCGATACAGCTTCTACGTCATCGGATGTTACCACGGGCCAATGAGGATCCCCAAGCGCGTAGTATATTTGCGATTAAGTCGTCCAAGATTAGGCGATGGGTCAGCTTCGTTGTTTATCGTAAGAGGAATGTTTCAAAAAGGAGTCCCACGAAGGCGAAGAAAACTATTCTGTCGTGGCTTGTTTCAAAAAGTACCACGACTGTTAATAAATTAGAAAGATATTTAAATTTAAAATTTAATTTTCTTTAAAAAATTTCAGGATTATCTAAATTTTTAAATGAATGTAAGGTAAAGAAAAAAAATTAATAATTTTTCTGAAGCTTTCGTTCAATAATTATTGGAGGAAGGTCTTTCAGAATTAATTTTTGATTTAATTGTTCTATTTAATTTACTCAAGTATATTTTTAAAAGATCCAAATGAATATTGTTTACCAACTCTCTTCGGTTGTATAGGATAATTAAATTGATGATTCATCGTTCGTGTTAAAAACCAGAATAAACAGCGCACCAAAGTTAAGAAGATCTGCAATTTTTCAGAAGTTACGTACGTATGTACATATGGTCGCAGCTGGCTGTAATAAACATAAGTCGCGAAGAGTGTTTCAAAGAAGAAACCCGAAGGACACCTTAATTTCATCAAACTGCATCAATTATTTCCTCGCCTCGTTTCTGTTACTATTACCAGAAACACTTAAGGTCGTCTTCACCTGACCATGATCTATTCTTGCCTCTCCTTGTTTTCCTTAGCAACACGCAGTCTCTCTCTCTCTCGTCGGCCTTTTCGTTTCATTTCCCTATCCGCGCGTGACAATTGAGATAATTCGAGTCACGAGGCTTGCAGAGTTTTCCGGGACACTAGGAACTTCACGTTCGTCGTCGTGTTTCGAAAGAAATACGATCCTCGTGCCTGACGAAGCTGCGCGTTCTCGAGTTTTGTTTCCACGTATGAGATAGCTTGGAAAGGACACAACGTGGCCGGATAATCATTCTAGATTCGCTTGAATATTTGCGAGAAACGATGATTATTGAATGACCTGAATAGTAGTCCCAACGATCCAACGGATGTGCACCGACTTTATTCTTGTTCCATAAGAGCAGCGACCTCCCTTGAATCGTTGCAGCTATAGACGTGACACAGAATTCGCGATGACTGTAGGGAAAACTCGCATGATTTAAGGTTGTCGAAGTTTGTTAGCTGTTGACCCGTGTATATTCTTGCAAATTGAAATTTCCTGCGAGACTATAAAAAGAATGAATCGAGAATTTCAAGTGGTGGATCAACACGTTGATTGCCATGTAATGGAAAGCTAAGATAAATTATTCTATCCTATGCTAAGTTTTACAAAATTTGCTTCGATACTTTTTTATATGAAACCATTTTCATCGTAAACTAAGCTACCATATGCTACGTTTTCTTTGAGGGCAAAGTCAGCTCTATGTAACACAAACCTCCATCTGAACTATCTTGTCCCAAACTGATGATGAGTAATCAATGCAGTGGGATTTGAAAATTGTCATATACATAGCATAGCTTAAAAAAATTTTGTTTCGGTGGATACTGTACAAATTTTATAATATAACATCGCATGGCATAATTTAGCTTAGGATAACGTAGTATAGGTTAGGTTAGATTTGCTCAGCTTTTCGGTGGCTGAGGCTCAAATGTTCCTAGAAATTTAAGAATCCATCACCCATATTACTACACGACGATAATTCTATCGAAACCTTTCCCTTTCCTTCTTTGAATTATTCTACTATTACAAACAAGGGCTGAACTTTGATTCCAGGGACATAAAATTATTGCCCTTTTTTCTTGCTCTTTAGTAGTTTTTGACACGTAGAATCCATAAATGTAGGTCGTAACTTTAGGAAATTAGCGGTTCAAAAGTTATGAGTATGTCAAGTTTCACGTTTTTAGGGTATTTTACACGCTACTTTGACGCCATGTTGCTTCCATCTATTATTTGATTGGCCCGCATAGATGAGCATTCGGCGGCCATTTTGGCGGGATAAATCAAATGTTTCATTTGAATTTGTTTTCCACGATAATGATTTCGCCGACCGCCTGTGCGAGTATTTATGGCGTCGATTTTGCCGCAAAAATAAAGTCGATATGATGGAATCATTAATGGAGGCAATTAAGAAACAATATATTTTTAAATAAGGTAAGCGGAAGTATTAGATTAGGTTAGGCTACATACTTAAATCCGACCGCCGTCAGGCGGTCGGCAACGCTTTCGTGAAATAATAATACTGTTGAAATGTAATAATTTCTTTTAAAGGGCCCTCTTTAAAATTTTTAGGTTGGTAGTATGATACATAGGAACTTTGAAAGCTCATCTATGCGGGCCAATCAAATAATAGATGGAAGCAACATGGCGTCAAAGTAGCGTGTAAAATACCCTAAAAACGCGAACTTTACATACTCATAACTTTTGAACCGCTAATTTCCTCAAGTTACGACCTACATTTATGGATTTTACGTGTCAAAAACTATTAAAGAACAAAAAAAAAGGGCAATAATTTTATGTCCCTGGAATCAAAGTTTAACCCAAACAAGTATTTCTGATGTATCAGAATGCAAAAATCAATGTATGTTTCAATTTAGAGTTCATTCCCAGCGCGGAATGACCAACAGACATTATTTCTAAAAATAACAGCGCATGATTAAATAAAACGTTCGTACATAGTCGTTTAACTATTATTGATGCCAGGATGATTATAGGTAGATCTAACCGTATTACAAACTATAAGCAGCACTACCGCAGAAAGAAGTTCATATATCGCATAATAGGTTCGCGGTAAATATAAATCACTCGAATAGAAAGATTGTACGATCCTGTTGGAATAAAAGGAACGAATGATTTTCTAGCCGCATTGAATACGATCCTCGTATGACTCAACTTATGTAGAGATACGTATTATCTTTTCCATTCGTTCGTCACTTGCACGTGTTTCACGTTGCGCCTCGCTCATTCGTCTCGCACGTGATGCCATCTATTCAAAGATTAATTAAATTGTACTGTTGGATGAAAAAAGAGGATCAGGGCAATTTGATGCTTTTTCCATAGAGAATTGCATTGGTAAAATTGCATTGGTAAATCTTGAAAAATTGACGAGATCAAATTATCAGGAAAGCTTCGATATTTTATTGGCAGATTTTAAAAATCGACAGAATCAAATTATTGGAAAATTAAATTAAATTGTTTGTTAACCCTTTCGGTCCGGCGCTCTTGTAACAAAATGCATCACTGATTCTTCTCTGTCATATGGAGTTTGCAATTAGTTTATTATAGTAATTCGAAATATTATATCTACAATGTCTACAAGTATGATTTTTTTCAAAGGCGAATACCCTTCAAGGGCGCATAAATACGCTCTCAGAAGCGAAAGGGTTAATATTAAAAGTGAATATTTTCGTTTGAAGCACGGTTCGTGAACAATGCAAAATAACTTCCCGGTGTTTTCATTCGCTCTGTCTTCTACTATTTCTTATCAATGTACAAAAGGGGAATTCGTTTTCCGTTGTCACGTGTTTTGTCAGAGTTTTATTACGAGTAAACCGAGCGTCACGAGGGCTTGACGTAGACGTAACAATTGTTATGAGCCTTTCTGCGAATGGGAGTTCTGCAAGTGCGTCGTTGGCGGGATATATCGTATTGGACTTCGCGCGGTGCCATGAACAAAGTCGATAACAGAGCTTTCTCGATAACCGATCGGAGGTTAATCGTATTATGGACCGGCACGATGCGGACAGATTCGATTCTGGAAAATAAGTATTCGTTTGCTTGGACTTTAATACAACTTTTATCACGTTCCTTCGCGCCTCGTTATAAAATCTATTAGTTTATTTTCACTGAAATACGTTCAGACTGTGAAGAGCCTATTGCAATTCCTCGGCGAGTCGGGGGTCATTGGTGACAGACACCGCGATTTTAATACAATCAAAGCAATTAAAACTAAATTTTAATCAGCATTATCATTACGCTAACTATATTATACTTGACACGTTGGATACCACCGGAGTCACCGCTGAATAATTAAAAGAAAACGATGAAAAAACATTGTTTTAAATAATATTGCTATTGTACAAATAATATAAAATAGTAAATAGAAAGCTGAAATTTGAAAATTAACTTTGCCTATTCTTAATAATCAGAGCTTTAATCCGTCCCACGGCAAATGGCCATTTTCGTGAAATTGAAAAATAAAATGACTGCATCTTGAATAATTGCAATTATAAGGAAACCCGTTATCTTCGGTTCCTTTGATACAAAGAAAAATATATTTATATTCTCGATCAGCTTATTGTTAGAATACTTTGAGGTATCACCGTTGGATGATTACGTATGCACAGTCGCTGTAGCTTATTAATTCGTTTCGATGTTAATTACCAGCCACGAAATTTTCGTCTTCTCTTCCTAACAGAAATAATATCTACGTGTCTGATTACGTCAGGATTGCTGAAAACAGCACGTGCTCATTTACACCACGTTCATCCATAATGAACGTGGTCGCATGTTTGCTCTCTGTAAATGTGCCTTCCACAGTAAACGTGATCATTCACGTCTACTATTAACAGCATATAGGTTTCAGTAATTAGACGATTTGCGGGAAAACGTACACTGCACGTTTCTAAATATGAATTTCATGGGAAATGAATTATTTTACATTTCACTTAGAATTAGCATGTTTTACATGAATTTTAAAATGTACCACTTTTCAAAATGTTATATAATTTCAATATTATATAGTAAATGTGAGATAACATAAAAATCTTGGTAATAAAGTTACAGATTCGTGAGATCATCCATCAAAGTGTTTGCTTCCCCGTTATCAATGAAACTTTCATTTAGGAAGCCGGCGTTATCGTAACTCTTGTGCAGTGCAGTTTTTGTTTTTTCCTCAAGGCTGCTCGTGTTTTCTGCGACATGTTTTATAAAGAACTTCGCGGGTAGCAGCGTTTCCGGGTATCGCCAAAGTGAAAAACACATTTAACAATACGGCATCGTCGAGTCAACGACTTGGTGTCTTCTTGCATTTTTCGTTTTTTCGTCCGGTCGTTCGACTTGGAATAATAATTCTCTGTGCTACAATATTTCATCTTTAATATTTTAACCCCCGCATTACTCTATACTTTTAATTACCAAATTATAAAAATAATACGTACCAAGTATCTTTACAGTTATCAATGCTTTTTAAAAAGTTAAAATCTCGTAACTATGATAAACAGATAAATGAGACTCTGTTGTTTCATAGATGCAAATAGAAACGCGTTACCATGCGTCTAGGTTTCGTTTGTTATTGCCAAGTATGGCGAAGCTGCAAGATCCGGTGATACCCGGTTATCGTATGAAAAACACTGAGGGGCCACCGCGGTCAAACGTTTGCCGATAAACCCTGGTCACAACAGAAGCTTCGATGTCAGCCGCAATATTCTCCTCTGTCCGGTTCTAGCCGGAATGTTGATAACACGACCCCGTTAAAGCGGTTCCCCCGCGATTTTTTTTCACGATCCAACTCCTTTCCCGGATCGCTGTTCTGCTCGCCAGTCTGCTGGGATAAGCAGAAACTTCCAAGTCGAGGGTCAACGAGCAATTCTTGATTACGGTTCGCTGTACCGTCGTTGTAGACGACGGGAAATACGTTCGTTACTCGTCCAACAGTATAATCTCCTGTGTTTCTTATCTTACAGGGGGAAAAACGCAGATTTCTTTTTCTATCGAAATATAACATTGTTTTCAGGAAAAATAATGCATGCTTTTGTTATGATTATGCTTGTTAACACTTAAGCTTTAAGGAAAGTACTTATAAATGAAATGAACATTTTTATTTATTTTTTTAAAAATATTTTATAAAATAATTCAAAGATAGATTTTCCACATTTAATTCTATGCATTGGTTTTGGCTAAATTATGTCACTAATGAACCAAATCTTCAGGGCAGAATAAATAGAACAGAAAGGTAAAATCTATTTTTGTAAATTTCGACGAAATCCTTTTCAAAGGCTGGACTAAAACCGACAGACAATTATCATGGTCAATAATGTGATTTAAAATAGATTAATCTGGATACAAGTAGCCCGAAGGTTCCCCGTTTCGTTCACTAGCTCAGTTATTCCCACTTCGCCCTTTGAATGATCTCGAAATAACCACATCGTCTCAAATTCTCGACCTGTTCTCTTTGCAAGCTCAACGATGTTCTCCGCTCGCTAACGTATAGAATAGGTCTTGTCGTATTAAGCTCCGTTCATATCTACAAGTATAAATATTTCTTAATGCATTATTTACGAGAAACTTTATATTTAACACGTTATATCTCGCAGTGAAAATGAACATACATATGTAATACGGCAAGTTATAATTATAATGATTCAGAATGGAATAGAGTAGTAACTAATAGCGTAGGTATCATGGAAAAATAATTAGCGGAGATTTAGGAACCTTATTAATCCTTGAACAGCGGACCCAAACTCACAAACCGTACAAGAAACAGTGTAAAATTTAGAAAATTAAAAAAAATTAAAATTGTAGCTCTCTCCATGGTCCGTCGTTCGAGGGTTAAACAAAAGAGTTTCATATATTGAAAGAATAATTTTTAAAGGAACAGTGTAAAATTTAGAAACTGAAAATAACGAAATACAAAATTAAATTAAAATTGCTACTCTCCATTATGCCACTAATCTCCCAATAAAAATTCAAGTCCCAATAATAATAATATTTAAGATGTATCGTCTGCGAATGCGTTGACTCTCACTACTGTGTCAACCGATACGATTCTAACATATACCAAAAATCAGACCAAGCAGGGCGAGTGGCGCACCTTTCTTGATCAAGCAGAAAATCTTAGAGGATTCTAGTGTTTACAATTTGAAATTTGAACTGTGACTGGAGCTTTGAAAGCTGAAGACTCGTAGTTTATTTGATCAATGCTATATTACTCAGGGTGTCTTCTAAGATCACGGAATCAAGCTCTTCGAACCCAGAAGGTGCACATTCGTATAAATCACAACTGAAATTCTGTTTCTCGATCGAGTAGCATAAAAATCACCTAACACGATCATTTGGCTGAATTCCATCCTCGGTCGCCTATTCGCAGATGAAAAATAAATTATTCCTGCTAGTTTCGTCACGTGTGCCTTAGTCACCGTCGACGCCGAGGTATCTGGTTCAAGGCGGTGCTGCGTGCACTTCTGCATAGAGAAAACGTGCTCTTCGTGGCCTAGCGAACACGTTTCCCTTTTTCTCTTCATTCCGAGTAAACGGTAACGGGCGCTTAGTCGCGTGTGCTTCCGTAGTAACGTAGGAAAGTGCCGCGGAAGAGAATTCTCCGTTGGGCTTCCTCGCTTCGAAACGTGTTCCCTCACGTGTTGGGCGTAATGCGTCGCGTTTACAACACGTGATAGCAGCGGCGTCATCGTCGAGCGACATCTCCCTCCTCGTTAAAGGAACGTAAGCGCCGCCAGCCGTGGATCGCAGTCGTGGCTGTGCCATATCGAAACGCACAGTGTTTTACTTAACGCCGCGGTCTTTTCGTGCGATATTATTCCGCATCGAGCGACATCCTCGCGATTCACTTTTTCAGACGATCCCTCGCCTTTGTAGCATTATGAACGATTATTGGTTGTTCCTTCGTTGAACGTATCGATCCAACTGATCGTGTATCATCGTTGTCTAGCGGATCAGTGGTGGTTCTTTCAAAAATTCAAATCGAGCTACCCTGGAGGGTGCAATTTGAAAAGAGGTGTTTCTCGTCAGAATAGAAGAAACAATTATTTTAGTGTAGTTCCATTTTCTTGTGGATACCGGCGGTCACGTTTTAACGGGATTTCTGTGAAGTCGTTAAGAGAAATTCTTGAAAAGGAAGAGAATTGTGTGTTGAACGTGTGGCTCGAAGAGGAGGAACGATACAACAGCGTGTCATCGTTGCCTGCTTTCGCGCGGCCCGCTTCTAAGAGCACAATGGTGACGCACAGCATGGACAATATTTTGAACATGCAGTATTATCCCACCAACAGTCACGTAGAGGCGAATGTGCACTCGCCGCCGCTTAGGAAGAGACGGTGTTTGAATAAGGAGGTGATATTTCATTTCTTCCTTGGTATTGTAATTGTTTGTTCTACTGTGTGGGACCTAGGAGGGAATTCGTTTCATAGGGTCTCCTGAAAGATAGTTCGTTCTACTTTACGGCTCGTTTCATTCATTCTTTTACATTTACGAAAGGTAATTTAATTGAATAATTAAATAAACATTAGAGTTGCATATTTATACGTATACTACATCTTTGGAAAAATTAAAAAAATTATTATTTGCATTTGTATCAATCTACCTATCAATAAGTAGGTTTTAATAATTAATTAACAAATTTTTGAATACGGGACATTAATGAAACAATTAACGCGATCAATTAACGAGTACCTAATAAGCTCTTTATATGCAAACATTATCTTTTTACGCGATTTGACGCAAATCAAAAGCTTGTCCTAAAAGAACAGTGAAAAATTCATCTGATTTAAATATAGCATTATGTTAATTCGAATGAATGATCTTATATATCTTCTATTGCAATTAATTCGAGAAAACTCGTGATAAAGTTAGAATCTTATTAGTCATTTAACACGTGCTAATTAACTATTAATAGATTGGCAAATAAATTCGTGACCTTTCGATATTTTAACTACTCGAATTCTATTTTTTCTTTTAAATTGAAATGCGTTGAATTTTAATAAATAATTATGTAGAAAAAATATTTTGAAGTTTATTTATTTATATTTGTCATAGAACTTTTAACATAAAATCAATTTAAATAATATTCATAACTTAATCTCACTTGCAATTAATTCTTTCAAGTATCAACAAATCACAGTTCTATTAAAACATATTTTTTCCTAACATCATAGTGTTTTTTATTTTGTTGCAGCAAGATCCGATGTCTCACAGGATCATCGAGAAACGAAGAAGAGACCGTATGAACAACTGTTTGGCCGACTTGAGTAGACTCATACCGGCCGAGTACTTGAAGAAAGGTCGTGGAAGAGTGGAGAAGACGGAGATCATCGAAATGGCCATCCGTCACATGAAGCATCTTCAAGGTCTTCGCCAAGGTACTGATCAAGAACAACCCGAGAACCAACTCGAGTTTCGATACCTTTTTAACGTATTCATTGATTTTATGAAATTGCTTAGAATCAAAACATCCTGCTGTGACGTCAGTTCACACGCACCCTGAAGACAGCGTGGACAGTGTTTCTCATTCGACCGTGGCGTCGACCGCCGCAGAACACTACAGGCTGGGTTTTCAGGAATGCCTCAGCGAAACCATGCACTTCCTTGTGGAAGTAGAAGGTTTCTTTGCCAGGGATTCCTTGTGCGTGCAGCTGATCAATCATTTGCAGCAGCACTGCGAAAAGATTTTAGCCACCAGTGAGTAAATACTTACTAGCGATACTGGAATTAATACAAATGACTTGTATCTTGTTCTTCGAATGAGTTTCCTTTGAATTTCATTATTTTCCTTTTGTTACTCAGATCAGTTCGATTAAAATGAAACTTTGACGAAGAATTGTGTCAGAAGGGTAGAAAGTTCCTTGAAAAGGAATATTATAATACATTCCTCATTCTACTATTCATTTTTTTGCAATAGTAGAAGCCTAGATATATTTTTTCTCTCCTTGAAAAATGTTATTAAGCACTAAAATTTAAGAGACATGTTACAAGTTTAACAGGGGATGAAACATTCCCTCGAAACTTTCATTTTGCAAATGTCAAATTTCATATCATCAAGCATCTTTTCCACGACAATCACTTTTGTACAGAATATAATTATACTCAGATGTATTTCGTTTTGTAAATAAACAATGATATGAAGATGTTAAATAAAGCCGCTGTTCCCAGTTGTACCTCTTTCTCCTTCTCTCTTCGATTATACACCCTGATAATAATTACTTTTTAATATGCACTCCTCTTTAGACGTACTTTGCCTGGTACCAATTTGAATTTTAATCAAGGTGAAGCTTACTTTTTTATACGACCCTTTGAGCTTAACATTTCGCACACTAGTGCATTTCAGTGCTTAATAACTTATTTCAAGGAGAATAAAATTAAAGGGGAAACAGTTAAATACTTTGAAAAGCAATCTCTTGAATTTTTATAAAATTTAAAGATATTTTATATTTCTAGTTCTGGGCTTCTTCCATTTCGTATATCTTCTTCTCAAATAGGTTTCGACGAAAGAGGGTAGATTTTATGAAAATTTCATGTTATCCTCTTTTGTCAGAACTTATTTTAAGAAAAGGCACGCTAAATGAGGAACGTCCGCTGATTTAACGCGATACCGGCGAACAATGTTGCATCGGCATGAATTTTTCATTGCAGGCGATAGGCTAGGCTTCCCGCATCCCGAGATGCCGACGACGAACGGTGTAGCGAACGGCACCAGCTACACCCACACCAGCATTCCCACGATGTGTCAACCGAATGGTCACTCGGACCACGGTTCGAGTTCAGGCGTCAGTTCGTTCGGTGACCCGGAACGTCCTATGCGTCCTACGATCATCCCACCGCCAGCGATCGTCAGCGACGACAGCAATCACAGCACCCATTCGCACAGCGCACCATCAACGACCAGCTGCAAGCCTTCCAATTACAAGTTCAAGAGTTCCATCAAGCAAAGGTTCTCCGCGGAGAGGATAAAGTCTAGCCCACCACCTGCCATCAACTCGGAGAAGCCATCTTCGTCGCACGGGGTACCCATCTTTGCTCTCCACGACGGTGGCGCCTTCTACGTCCCACTAACCATCGAAGCGTCCATGCTGAGGCCACACCTGAACTTCATCCCAGACACCGGACCAGACACCGTTCTTCACCCCGTCACCATATCAGTGAACTTCAATCATTCGACACAGCCGGCGTGGTCGCACCATCCCAGTCCCACTCATCAACAACAGACATAAAAAATGGCGTCTTGAATGCGAGCCCATCTCGCGATCTTCCATCCGGAATCTACATACGCCTGTTCATACGTCTTGCGAATCACTGTGGATGCGTTAATCACTTGCACCATAAGTGGTGCGATCTGTATGGACACTTGTACGAAGAAATCATTCGATCAAGTATTTTAAGCGGTATCTACGACTCGAAGCTATCGTCGTCGCAGATTCTTCATTTTATTTCTGATTCTTTAGTCGGTACAGTATGATGGCCACTGTGTACCGTGGTCGCAGAGAACGATGGTGTCGAGGATGTTTCTTTTTTTTTTTTCTTTGTATATTTACCGAGGCTGTGGGTTGTCTTAGCATTTACGAGGTTCGAGAGAAAGTATGGCAGCGATGTCATAGATAGAGATATTAGAGTATTAGGGCGTGATGTCCCGGGTTGCTTTAGCTTCGGTGTGTCTTTACTTTCCGTCGATATCGTCGCGGTTGAATCCCTCTTTTCTTTCCTCTCACATCCATACACTTTTTATCTTGTTTCGTTCTATCTTTCATCCTACCTTTCCAATCCTTTCCTCATCGGTTGGGTAAATGTGTCGCGCGGTGACTAGGCTTATACCGTCGAGTTTTTTTCTTTTCCGTTTTTATTTCTTTTCTCTTTGACGGATCGCCAATTCGTTCATCGATTAGTATTAAATAAAGATTAAATCGCTGCGTCTGTAGATTCGCGAAGTAACAGCCAGGTAACGACGTGTTGTCGCACAAAAAGGAAAAATGTTAAATTGGACTGGTCGCAGTTATTGAACTACGTTTTCGAAGCGTATACTAAGCCGACGAAAGTGCCTACACGTTTTGATCTATGAATTCCATTGATGTGATCGTCTTGTATGTACGAAGAAAGTGTTTCATTTCCTGCGAATAAATTCTGTGTCACGTTCGATCGTAAAGGAGCAAACGGGCCTCAGCAATCAAAGACTGACCAAGACCTGCATTACACTAAATTCTCTTGTAAGATCATTGCATTAAATATATATACATACATATATATATTTGTACATACCATGTTTAGTTGTAACGTTAACGAAGAGTTTATTGCGGAATAAATTATATTTACCATAATCCTTTTCTCATGATCTCATTTTTATTTTCTAGAAATATTAGAATAGAAGGAGAAAGAAAAAGGAGACGAAGAGTCGAAGAAACAACACTCGGGAGATGCAATTAAAATTTTTTTTTTTTTTATTACATCAACATAATACTGGCTAAGGGTCAAAACAATTGTCGAACGCGTCTATTAGGGTTATCGAGATTAACACATGCGATTCGTGAACGAAACTCGCTGGCTAATTAAAAGAGAATACCCTTTTAATCGCGAGAGAGGTTCGCACGTATCGCGAAAGATTGGGATCACGATCTAATGTTCCTTAACTAGAGATAAATACACTTCTTATACGAGTAATAAAATTATTCTTGCAGCGAGGCAACCAAGTCTTCGAACAAATCAGCCTTAACGAATTCGTGTGGTAAATAAAAATTGTTTAAGAAACAAGGTCGGGGATGCGAGGCGGCGGCGATTCGATGGTGTTCGACTGGGTTTATTTGCGGTTAACATCAGTCAAATAGGTTTCCGGTCGCGTTTGGTTTTTGTCTCCTTTCTTTTCAACTGAAACCATATTAGAGGAACATAAATCTCGTTTGGGATGTTAAAGCTTGTAGCCTGACCGCTGCCTCGTGTCTCGTCTGGTGTTGTCACCGTTTACGGTGATCACACGACGTACAACATCCCGTCTGATCGTCGGTGTTAACGTGTTGTCGTTTAATTGAAAAACCTAACTACACAGAGTCCAAGGGGAACTTAGTATTTCTTACCTGTAATTGGACACATATTTTCGTCAATGTAAGAATGAGTAAAAACGTAATCGTTATCCACCTAGCATATGTGGGGTGTGCGCGGGGCGTGGGTGAACTGAATGTGCAGATTCGGATAGATGCGCGGATTCAATACTACCGGATAATGTAACGGGGGTAAGCACAACATCTTTTCACTTTTGGTATTATTAGTCGAGTATGAATTGAATGGAGCAGCCGCGGCGTACTGCATCCTTGATGAGGATCCCTGCGCGGAGATGCTCGTAGGGCACCAGCCGGCGGACTGCGAGCTTCCGAGGAAGCTTGATGGTTACTTTTTTTTCTGGGCCTTCTCCGCGGCCTTTGTAACCTTGCCCTGGGTATCTTTGAAGGTGACGCTCTGTAAAAATACAAATTCCATTGTTATTTGTTTTTCTAAAAAATAAAATTAGCATCGTTATTAGTGTGCAGTCTAATTCTAGATAATTCTAAGAATCTTTTCTTAGTTGATGAGACGTCCAATTTGCAATTTTTTCCATTTTTTCAAAATTTGTAGAGAAATATTTGAAGGGAACTGGCACGAGTTTGCAGGGGATATTGTGCAATCGTTGAAAAATTGTTTGCTCTCGATTAGAATCGTTATTGTATGACGAAATCAATTTTATTGTTTATTGGTCATTCTTCTTCCATTTTTAATCAACTTCGTAAGCTGTGTAAAAGTAGCCACGTGTTTCGTTAGATAATGCGCATTCCGTTTATTCTTCTTTATCATGATTAGTGGTCCGGTATTATCAGTTATTTACCAAGCGTTTCACGCTATCAGGCGAGGGTTAAAGTCACGTTCTCCTTTTTAAGTGGAATCAAATTTTTGCTGAAGTGCGTCTTGATATTTTCACGCGCGTGATTCTTTTTAATCTCAGAAAACAAGTTGCGCGTATATAGGTGTGCATTTCAATAGATTACAAAGTTACATTTACATATAGATATAATAAAAATATGGAAATCAGTATTGAAAATAGCTGTTCTGCTAATCTAAAAATATTAGAAAAAGAAAACTGAATTTTAACGATACCGAAGTATCATAAATTATGATGATAGTCATTATACTTTTCTAATTAATAAAAATCAAGAGTGTTGCATGAAATTTTCCAAATGGAATTGGGTCGAAAATAATGTAAGCTTTATCTATATTTGAAATTGCAGTATACATTGCACCAAATGGTATCATGGTCCTGAAATAAAATAGGAAACGTCATTATATTCTTGTCAGATTGCCATGACATTCGGATTGTTGGAAACTCTCAAGTATCAAATGTAACTGATCTCTAATTTATTCATTTAGATTTTCCTTTCCTTATTTTAAGATAATTTGGCAATCGGCATTACTGAACGCATCGATGAAACACAAGATAATTCAAGGTAAATGTAATACCTTAATGACGCCCACAGCGACGGTTTGACGCATATCACGAACTGCGAAACGACCCAATGGCGGAAATTCCTGGAAAGCTTCGACGCACATCGGTTTCGTAGGTTGTAGCATCACGATTGCAGCATCCCCGCTCTTGATGCTCTTCGGATTTTCCTCGGTAGTCTTTCCGGTACGACGATCGCATTTCTCCTTGATCTCCGCGAATTTGCACGCGATATGAGCGGTGTGACAATCGAGCACCGGTGTATACCCGTTGCTGATCTGGCCAGGATGATTCAGGACGATCACCTGAGCCATGAAATCGGCAGCTCCTCGAGGAGGCTGATTCTTCGAATCACCCGCCACGTAACCGCGCCTCAATTCCTTCACGGAAATATTCTTCACGTTGAACCCGACGTTGTCGCCGGGCAGTGCCTCCGTCAGGGCCTCGTGATGCATCTCCACTGACTTTACTTCAGTGGTCAGCGCCGCTGGAGCAAATGTCACCAACATACCTGTGGTATTAAAATCATAGATAATTTAAATTAGAAATATTTAATAAATTAACGAAAGCAATAGTTACGTTTTTCCGAAAATTTTCAGAAAATCCAAGGGTATTGCTGCAGATTTTTATAAGAACCAAACTGTCAAGAATGAATGCCACGACGTCAATAAGGATACTACTAAGGATACTATTCTAACCATACTCGTACCTGGTTTCAGGATACCAGTCTCCACACGACCGACCGGAACAGTGCCGATACCACCGATCTTGTAAACATCCTGAAGGGGCAGACGAAGAGCCTTGTCGGTGGGTCTGGACGGTGGCAGTATAGCGTCAAGGGCCTCGATCAGAGTCTTCCCATCGGCGTTTCCATCCTTACGCTCCACTTTCCATCCCTTGTACCAGGGTGTCTTTGGCGACGGTTCGAGCATGTTGTCGCCGTGCCAGCCGGAGATCGGTACAAAGGCGACGGACGCGGTGTTGTAACCGATCTTCTTGATGTACGATGACACCTCTTTCTTAATTTCCTCGAAACGACTCTCCGAGTAGGGCGGATCGGTCATGTCCATCTTGTTCACGCCGACGATCAGCTGTTTAACGCCCAAGGTGAACGCGAGCAAAGCGTGTTCGCGCGTTTGCCCGTTTTTCGATATTCCCGCTTCAAATTCGCCGATACCAGCTGCGACGATTAGGACGGCGCAATCGGCCTGGCTGGTACCGGTGATCATGTTCTTGATGAAATCACGATGACCCGGCGCGTCGATGATGGTCACGTAATACTTGGCCGTCTCGAATTTCCACAGAGCGATATCGATCGTGATACCGCGTTCGCGCTCGGCCTTAAGCTTATCCAACACCCAGGCGTACTTGAACGAACCTTTACCCATCTCCTGGGCTTCTTTCTCGAATTTCTCGATGGTACGCTTGTCGATACCGCCGCATTTGTAGATCAAATGTCCCGTGGTGGTAGACTTGCCCGAATCGACGTGGCCTATCACCACGATGTTTATGTGTATCTTCTCCTTACCCATGTCGACGCTCTAGTTACCTGGAAGAATTTTCTGATCATTATTTTCATCGTTTATTATTAATATAATATAGAAATGTAGTACTTGGGTTATAAGAAAGACCTGGTAACTTTAACACTTTGATTGCCATGTTATTAATATTTGGGTGACATTTATATTTTGACACTTGTATTAGATGTTTTAAATTTTGGATAATGAATGAATAAATAATAAAATTTTTTTAACATGAAATTTTATATGACAGTTTCAGCACGATAGTTAACATGTTAATATTTTTTTCCTTGTTTAATATTCATAATCAGTTATTGCATGGAAGAGTAGAGAAAATGCAAATATCTCTTTTTCCAATTTTAATTTTCTGTAATATTATTGACTTTATAGAAAAGTAATAGCAAGACACAAATCAAATAAAAAAATCATCGAATTAGTTGAATTGATTTATCGTGTGTATTCGCAATATGTCCAGATCATAATTGCCTCTGCGCGTCATTGATGACTGACTAGAATTCAATATCAGAGAATACTGTTCATTATCGAATGCAACGAGCAGGAACATATCGAAAGATTAATTTGTGACGAGATATTGGATCGGTCGCTATGGCTGATCATACGCGCACTCGTACTACTAGCTCGCTGTAAATTAAGCCGATTACAGCTTAATTGGTTCATTAATTATTGAATCGCGACAAACGTATGTAACTCCTTTTCTTTTTAATTAGTGAATTTTGATTTTACAGAAATTGTGTAATAAAGTAACATGTACTGCTTAAAACTTGAATTCCCATAGGAAACTATCCATCCATGTCATTAGGAATTCTTTTACTTATCTAATTAAAAATTTGTAATAAGTACTTTAAATGATGGATAACAGAAATAAATATTTTAAAAATAATAAATGAAATTTGTTAAAAATAGAAATGATATCTAATAAAATTTTCAATAGTGTTTGCATGGCAATCAACGCGTTAAATACTTTTTATCACTTTTCTTTACAAGAACAAGTCGGAAAGCAATCAACTTTGAATTATTTGACTACAGAACCTCTATATTAAACGAAACTTCATTAAACTCGAATATAATATTGTTACATAACAAAGGTTTTTCTGATACGTTCAGGTGTATGGGTCACAGGGATGACAAGCGGGGCTGTATCGATTGTTGGGAGTCAACGAATTATGTGGACTTTAGAAACGTTCTGTTTACAAGTGAGATAACCGTGAAATATTTGCAGAAATTAATCGCATTACATTAAATTGATTCGCTAATTCTAATCAACGAATTAATCTTCCAGATGAAGCATTCTAATTTTCAACAGAGAAGATAGAACATTGCCAATATATATTATTAATTCAATTCTTTGATTTTGTACGTTTATTTCTGTGTATATTAAAAAACATAGAAAATTAGGGTTGAGTCAATCGCGATGTCCTATTCCCTTTCGAATCGATACTCTGCACAGTGTTCAAAAAAAGGAAGGAAAAATTGCGTCGTTCTATATTAGCCCTTCTCAATGCATATCTTAAGACGTATGAAGCTTTTAAGAAGTTGTAAATAACTCGTTAAGAAAACATCCCCTCGTGCCATAACTACCCTTCACGAACAAATAAATACACCAGATATTAAAAATAAAACAAGAACATGAAAAGGATTATCAACTTCTCTTCAAAAATAAGAAGAAATTATTATATAGCACTGATGATTAATGAAACTCGTCAGGTTTCTCGTTATCGATCCTCAGCGTTACACTTTTACAGAGGGAAATTATTCTAATTAAGATTACCAGATAGGCAGGCCCGATTATTATCTTTAATCGAATTAAGAGTCGATTTCTCGCGGATTACCTCGATTGGACTTACCTGGTCATTATCACTTCTCCATCCCTTAATTCTATCGAACAGAGTTCGTTGAACGTTATCGTTCTACAAGGTCTCTATCTCGGAAACAACTGATATTTACAACGTATGTAGGAACGTTGACGAGCTGACGAAGGGTATTGATTCGTCGAAAGGGCCCACACGAAAGTACCAGTGCTATCGGCGCGAGTGTGCGCGTTTATTCGCTCGAATCGCAAAGAAAGAGAGAAAAAAAAGGGAGCTTGATTAGGATCGTGAAATCTCGATTTCACCCCATGGAAACATCTCCGCGACCCAGTCCACCGTCGATCGATAACACTCGAGCGGTTTCTTCCCCCGGGATTCTTCGAAAAAAAAAAAAAAAATCACGGTTCAACGCGCGAGCGATTCGAAGCTCGCAGAAATCGTGCACGGCGAAGCGCTCGCGTCCGCTGGCCTCCTCTAATAATAGAGCGACCGAGTGAAGCAGCCATTTCGCGAGCAGCAATTTCAAGCTCGCGATTCAGGCATCCCCCATGAAACAAAACTACTCCTCTTCGTCGACGCGAAAAACTGAAGGACCACAATTTTCAGATAACGATCTTGAAACTCCGTGTCGTCGAACCGCGGATTCCCGGCCTCCCTACGCGATTCACGCCCCTCGTGATGCAACAGCAGCTCGACGGTTGAAAGAGGTTAAGCCGAGAGGAAACCGGCTGGACGTTGTAAACCGGATGCCCTCGACACTTACCTATCTCTCCGGGAGATCGCAGGGAGGCTGACGGTGAACCGGAAATCTTGCTGGCACGATCTCGTCGAGGAGCTACGGACCAAGCGGATGCAACTGCGTCGAATAATGATCGCACGCCCCCGACCGCTCGCGTAATGGCCGCGGCGACCAACTAGCGGCGCACTTCTCGCCACTTGCCCGGTCCCGGCCTACTCGATCCTACTCGATTCTTTGATTTTCTTTAATAACGATACGAATGCGACCGATTGATTATTCTCAATCGCCACTTAACCGAACACCGACGATGTCGCTTTCCTAATTAGATAACGCGAACGTTTATGGGGCATACTTGCACCGGGTCCAATCAATATGTCGCCAACAGCCGGCTCTTCTTCGACTTCCGTTTTTACCAGTTACTTTACACTTCGATCGCGAAGATACTTCCGTTTGATTGTTTCAAGAAACGACCGAATTCGATCGGTTTTAATGGGTCAATTACTCACCGGAATCGACAGGATGGAGAGGCTGGAATATCCGCGTGGTTTCGCACGTATTTCCTTGGTCGCTTCTAGCCACTAGGACGGGACACGGTGACAGAGATAGAAGGGGCGGGAGAGAAAGAGACGGATCGAGAGGAAAGCGAGAGACAGGGGGTGAAATCGCAGTGTCATCTACTGGCGTAGCCTCAGGCCAAGGGTGAAGGGCGCATGTGCCGACCGCATGGGTGACGATGGTCCGAAGCGTCCATTGGATCGCTCGAGCTACGTCCGAAGTATGCTTTTCTCCCGGTGCCAACAGGCCAGTGCATCGCGTGCGGTAAGCTTCCAAGCTAACGAGCTCCGTCGATGCATTCTCGCCGCGTGCAATCCGTACACGCTCGCGGCCTCTCGCGTCAGACGCGAGCTTTTATCGGTTTAAGCTTCGTTTACATTGTTGTCCTAACATCTTGTTGTCCGACAATTTTTATTGCATTTGTTTAATTTTTTAATTTAATTCTTTGAACATACTATAGGAGTGGTAGAATATTTTGTATATTCTTAATTTATTTATTTGTTAATTTGTAATTTATTTATTTATTTAAATTTAAAACGACGTTTGAACTGTTTGCAAACTGCTGCAGATGAATTATTTTATAAAATCCTCCAAACATATGCAAAAATGATGCATTATTTTTTAAATTTTGCCAATTTCAATTGAAATTCTTTTTTGCGAATTATTTAAAACGATAAAATTACAGAAATAATACCTCCCCTATTATCTAATATAACATTTTCACATTACACGATACAACCCTTGTTATTTCTCAAACTATTTAAGCTCACTTTGTTATCAAAACGAAACACCGTATCCTATCACGATAAGACATTTCACCTAATTAATATTATTGTACCACAGAATTTCCTTCTTGCCTTCAATGGATATTATCGAAACGTCTGCACCATCAACTGAGAAGGGGATCGATCTATGGGGTTGGCGCAAGCGCCCGAAAAGGGTGCATACGCCGCGCCCCTGCTTAGAGACGAGAATGTTGGTAAATTTGATCAAAACAAACCAGTGAGCATGGAAACTAAGTAGCTTTTAGGGAATCGTCGTTCTTCTCTTTCCTTTTACACCACTCATCGATAGTGATTTAGTCAACATGAGCCCTGGTCTCGGACACGATCCTCTTCCTTCGTACAACATCACTGCACTAGGTGAATTTACGAACTGAATTAATCACTTTTTCATACAGTGCTCATAGAATATTCGCTAAACGTGTATCGTTGCTTTCAGGTAACACAGCGTTATGCCTGTGGCAACAACCGCAACACATACTGTTTCAATTAGCAAATTTTTGCTTCGCCCTGTCGTATTCGGCACCTTCCTCCAGAAAGGGAATATTATTTATGCATTCGGTGCTGATAATCGGTAAGTGCATTTGTTTGTTTAGCATAAGTGATTGTTTAACACTTTCAATGTTAAATTAAAACTTTGGATTAGAAAGTAAAAAAATTGTCTTAATAAGTTGTATCTGAAATTTCTGTATTTGAAAAATGTATAGATCGCAAATTATGTTTATTAATCACCAGAAAAAATAACAATTTTTTCATTTGGGATAATTTTAAATATTTGAAAATTTAATTTAATTGAAACTATTTTAGTGCGGTTATTTATTTTGTACGTGAAGATGCTTTACATTACGAAATATTAGACTTAAGAATCTCCTCGATTTCCAAATGAATAATTAAAATCTCAATATTTGCGAAAAGAAATATTCCATTAAAATATTTGTGAAGTCTAATTACATAATAGTTAAAAAAATTTGCAATTTCTATTGTTAAATTTTGAAATGCTTTTGTTTGAGGTTTCATGTTACTGTCTGGTTGGGCATGGCATGTGATTTGTGCACCGGATATATTCTCCTGGAACTTCAGCTTCTTGTTACTGAACATTGGACAGCTGGTTTATATAGTATATCAAATGAGACCAGTTCGATTCGACCCCGAATTAGAGGAGGCTTATCACACTCTATTTTACCCATTTAAGGTGAGCACTTTGTCAAGATTTTAATCAATTTTATGAGTTTATATGCGGTTACCATCAATCACGCGACATAATGTTCTTAATCTTTCGCGTGTTTCTTGATATCAAATGATTATAAATCAGATTATACTTACCTAGTTCTAATGCAGGGATCACAGATTTTTCTTCAATGTTGTTGCTTTTCTAACTGGAACAAAAAGCAATGTATTTAGAATTAAACAAATTATACTTTTTGCTATCCATCATACTGATTTCTATAAAAGATTACGTATCTTTAGCTATAGGTTAAATTAAGTTGAAGGAGATGAGAATAAGATGGTGTATCATTAATGATGCATTAAGATTATATTTGAATACTTTATTGACTAATATCACACATTCGTGACTTTGGTATACGAGTTTTTGTTCACTATCTTTTATTCATATCTACCAATTGCAATTTGTAAGTAATTCATTTTATGGCTCATATAGTAGCTACACAAATCTGTAGATATAATTTATATTATAATCTTTAACAGGTTTTTTATTTTCATTTAATTTAAGTACTTACGTTTATAGTTCTTTATTTTTACATAATTTAATTCTCCTAGGAGATACTTTGTACCAGCGTCGGATTAAGAGGGGGTTTAATGGGACCTACTTCCATTGAAATTTATTCTAACTAAAATTAAAAAGGGGCAATAGTAAAAAAATTTTATTGAATATTTATTGATATCATAAATGAAGATGTTTTAACGTGGCCCAGGGTTGTAGTCCCCATCAGATCTTCCTTTATTTCTGGTGCTAAATAAAATAAATTAAGCTTGTCAGGTGAATAATTACGAATCAAAAGTCTTGTCCTCTCTTTTTTCCCTGTAATGTTATTATCGATGAACAGGTATCCCGACTGCAGTTTAAGAGGTTGGTGTCTCCAGAATTTGCATCGATAATGTCGTTGCACACCGGTGAAGCGTACGCGATGCAAAATTTAACCAGGACCGACAGGCTGGGCCTGTTGCTTAGTGGTAAAGTGAATGTACTCAGCGATTCGAATTTCCTGCATCTTATATTGCCTTGCGAATTTTTGGATTCGCCAGAATTTGAGAGTTCTCGAGCATCTGTCGACGATAAATTTAAGGTAAATAAGAAAAAGAAAAATCAAATATTAAATATTTTTTAAATTATGAACATTGAAAATTTCTTAATATACATGTACTATTTAGATAGATTATATTTTAATGTTGATGTATTTTACAATTAATAGGATCTTTTTTTTCAAAATTAAAATTTTATTTAAATTAACCCTTTTTTTCTCTGTTGTTTATTGACTTTGTTCTCAGGTGTCGATCGTTGCAGCCAGTTCGTGTAGATATTTATACTGGCAGAGGTCTGCATTGGAATATCTTCTCGTTAAAGAAGCATATTTAGCCACAGTCTTAACAACCCTAGTTGCGAGGGACATCGCTACTAAATTATACGCTATGAATAACAAGGTAATCAAAATTTTCCTTTTCGCAAAATTTCCCTTACACTTCCTGTGGTCTTTCAATTATCGTAGAAGGTCGTGAAGGTAGCTATATTGAAAAATATAGTTTTCAGCTTAACGTCTTGTTAGATTGTTACAGATAAAGGGTCACATTTGGACATAAGGCTTCCAACAATTAGCGCTGGATTATCCATAAGTGGTGAATACAGAAGTCCAAGAGCATCCAGGCAAGCACTGATCCGTAGGAAAGAATCAACTTTAACTTCAGACAATGGTAACTTTTTGTACATATTTCATTTTATATCAAATACATGTAAATCTCTACTATAGACTTCCAAAATAGCAAATAATCCTGCGCCAGTCATCATACTAACATCAAATAAAAAATTCTGTAAATATTGTTTAATACAATGTTCAGGGTGCGTTAATTTGAAAGATCGTTCAGTGAATAATCTATCGAAGAAAGGAGTTCCAAATATGGAACCGTTACCAGAAATGCCATCCTGTGACGACCTGGCGTCAAGTGGCGTCGAAAGTTGGCTGGATTCATCGAGCAAGTATCACAGTTGTGAAATTGTTGACGAAGAATAACAGGAGGCCTCCTTAACGCCGGACACATTTTACGAAGGAGACAGCGATTAGTGTCCGCGTTAAGGATTTGCATAATCTTTGAGAAGAAGACTGCAGTTTCTTTTTTTTTTTTAAAGAACAATAAAAAGACAGTCTCAAAACACGTTTTCGAAAGTGTTACATAAGGCTGATTGTTACTTGATGCTTTCGTTTAGTGAACAAAAGCTTATCATGTCGAATCAATACAATTAGAAGAAGACGTTTTTATGATTATAATAGAAAATTTCGTATATTTAATTATCTCTTCATCAATATATTTTTTTTTATAATCTTAACATTCAGAGTGTTATATTATTTCATTAAGACATATGTCTTTACAATTAAATTATTAAATTATGGATTTTTAAATTTTTATTTTATGTTAGTACGGAGTTGCAATTTTTTTATAATTATTGAAACAATTGTTAAATACGTAATTAACTTTATATAAAAAGATTATCATATTTTATTTAAAGATGAGTGATTTCAAGCAACCAAAAATGTTATTTAAAAACAACGATTGTTAAGTAAGTAAGAGTTTCGCTTTGTATAAACAATACGTTAATTGATATTTATTCATCTTTTATTTTCAAGTAGAGTGTAAAAATACTGAAATATTTCGTTTGAAAAATATCGGCGACAAAGATACGCTGTTAGAAATAAATTCATTAGTAGTATAAGTCAGCGCGTAACGACGCGCAGTAGTATCAGTCAACCATAAGGCAGACACAGTTTTCAAATCACAGTTTAGAGTTCATTTGGAAAACAAAACGTTTGGGAAACTCAGGTACGCTGTTCATTAAATGTATTTTCATCACCTAACGATAGAAGCAAGGTTTAAATACACTTTCATAAAAACTTTCTTTCAATTACGTGTCTGCCGTCTATCGCTTGGGTTCGACAGACTATTAACCATCCTGTACATTCCATACGTAGCTAAGTAAACGCCAGAAAAGTGCTCTTGAAGCAACTAAAGTTCCAAGTGCTAGTTGCGACAAAGTGCTTACGCAACAAGGTATCTAATGACAACAAATCGTTATCATGTAACTAACCATCGTCGTATGGTATGCAGAAGTCTATCAATATTGTAAAGAGCGAATATATAAACTTCATCCGTTTACGATATCTTAGAGCAGCGGTTCTCATCCTCTTCTGGGTCTCGACCCCCATTTATAATAGTCAAGTAACATTTGATAATTCTCTCTCTTCACAATTGCAAAAAAAATAAATAAATAACTTTCGAATATCTTAATTATATAAAGTGAATACTTTCTAAAAAATATTTCCTGTTCCCCTTGGGGGTCGTAACTTACAGATTGGGGATCCAGGTCTTAGAGAAACAGCACAAAATTATTTTATAAAATTTTATACCCTAGAGCTTCTATAAATTACTGTAAAAAATTGTACTTTCTTTTTTTCGTGTATATGATGTATACCTACTGTGATTTTATGTTTCCTAGAGAACACGTTGAGATATTCGTTCGTGGATACATGTATCGATAGTATTTAATAGAGGTTTAATGTATATCATTGTATCGCATATTAGGCGAGAGAGAAGATGATTGATAAGAAATTCTTCCGATGAAAATCACGTGATAATCCGAGCACAAGAAGGCTTTGTATTTTATAATGCACAGATTTATAGCGCATCATAGGGTTTTCGTTAAGTCATTATTGTACAGTACCGAGCATGGTAGACTTTCCTAGAGAAAGTGGTGATGTTCTAATCTTCCCCCACCCGTAGGCTTTCCGAATTCTCAGGTTCCTGGGTTTCTGGACTGCTGAGTTTCTGGATTCATGGGTTTCTGTGTTCCTGAGTTTCTGGGTTCCTGGGTTTTTGGGTTCTTGGGTTCCTGGATTCCTGGATTCCTGGATTCCTAGGTCCCTGGTCCTCACTGTAAGTATCTTTTTCCCTGGGTTCCTAGGTTCCTGGGTTTCTGGGTTCCTGGATTCCTCGGTTCCTAGGTTCCTGGGTTCCTGGGTTCCTGGGTTCCTGGGTTCCTGGGTTCCTGGGTTTCTAGGTTCTTGGGTTCCTGAAATCCTAGGTTCCTGGTTCACACTACAAGCATCTTCTTCCTCGGCTTTCCGGATCTTCCCCGAAGTTTCCCTATCTTTCTCAGAGGTTTTCCTTCCCTAGGCTGCCATCTACACCTGATGCAGTCCCAACGAAGGTGACGTTGAATAGGAGGAGGCCTCATATAGGTCTGTGCCTATCACTTTTTAATATCGTCGAAATTAAGACTTTGAGAATTTCTGCTTCCTCTATATCGCCATTTTCTTTAGGAAATCCCGATTCGATCACGAGTGTAAAATCGTGTATAGCTATACAAAGTTTTTGAAGGAACTGTGTAAGTGTTCGTGAAAAATATTTTATTATTCAGTGATAAAAAAAAGAAAAATGGGAGTATTATTTACAATCGTTTATCTTTAAGTTGTTGTTATTATTAAACTTTCAGGAAATACATCCTGTATATTATATTTTATCGAAACTCGCAGATAAGAGTATTTATTTAAGAATTTCCAACTTTTCTCTAAATTTTGAATAGGAAATGGATTGTTACAAAGGTGTTGTTTGCTGAAACTTTTATTTGTAGAGCTACGTTACAATTTGAGCTGAGTGTTTGTAATTTTTATCATAGAGTAACATAATAGCAGGGTCTGGTGTATATATACGTTGTTAACTTTGCACTGTAGTATCACATCGATGGCAATACGAATGCTTGATCACACGATCGAGGTAGTTTGTAGCATTGAAATACGTGTTTTGTACAGATTTTAATTACTGTTTTTCTTGTTGTCAATGAATACAATGGACGAAATGGAAAGTTTGCACGAAACTTTGTTTTAATCATTTGTAGATACACCATTGATCCATTTTTTGTTAATTGTTTATAGATCTCTTTCAAAAAAGATTAAAATTTTATTCCTAATTTTTAATATTATTCTTCCTAGATATCTTGTTCTGGGAACAAAATATTCTTCCTAGATATGAAATAAAGTTTTCTTTATCAATACTAATTTTTTATTAAAAATAAAAGTAAAGTAACGTTTAGGAAAAGGTGGAATTGCAAGTTAGGATTAAAATAAAAACCATGGAAGTAATACAACTTTGTATATAAAGAAAATTATTTATTACTACATCGTTTCATTACATCAAGTTTAACAACACACTCTTAATTACTAAAGCTTAAATTTATTATTTCTTAAGACACACAGGTTTTACCTGTGTAGATCATTATATCTAATGTTATTATGAATATGATAGGCATTGCAGTTTATTTAATTTATTTTTCAATTTACATTAACATTTTTTTCTATATCTTTACATTTGTATGAATTTACAGTTTCAATGATAAGTGAAGAAGAGTAACATACCAAAATATTGAATTGAAGCTAATGAGATCAAGTTATTCAAGGTACACCTTGAAGTAACCTGATAAATTGGCAAAAACGGACACAGAGTAGCAATTAACATTTCCTTTATTATCTTCTAGCTCCATCTTGTCCGTAGGGCTATTATCTAGTCCAAGTCAAACAGGGGACCTAGAAATAGCACGAATGGTCGAAACGGCCCGGCAGTGAAAGAAGATTGATTTGATGGTGAAATAAACCAGTTGTGCTATCCGTAAGTCCAATTACCAGCAGGCTCTTTGAAATAACCCAATTGCTCTACCATTGATTTCACCTGGGTTTACAGGAAACTTGTGATTAGTCGTACGTTTTCAGCCATTGAGCAAACGTTTTTGGATACTCAAAGCAATGAATTAAAATTTTTAAAAATATTTAAAATAATCTCTAAGCAATAAAATGATAGCAAATGAAGAAAATTAGTTAAATATTAAAGACTGACAAGAAAACCTACCCAAGTGTTACACTCCGATTTTGATGAGCTTTGAATATTTTGTAGTCTAGGTCAAAATAAGAAACACGTATTTTTTTATACGTGCCCATATGGCCATTAAAGGGGTGAGACACCCTCTTGAAAAAAATCAGTTTTTATATTTCTGAGCTAATATCGTCGAAATGGTAAAAAATATAAAAAAAAGTTTCAAACAAAAGATTTATTATGTTTAATGTACTTTATAACAGTGTACTCCGATTTTTTGAAAATATCAATTTTTTCAAAATTCTCACCCCCTCCCTCAACTTAAAAAATTTTTTAAATTTGTCTTATAGCAAAACGGATAGTATATTTAATGACAAATTCAAACATACATGATAGAGTTGTATTCTGAAAACAAATTTTTCAGAAATAAGCTAATTATACCTCTATATCACTATGCGTGCGTTCCATTCGTGCCCTCGGTCTGGCCGCGGTCTATGTAAGAAAAAGACATTTAAAAAATAAACGTAGCAATAGGTATTGACAATGAGATACGGATACGAATGGAACGCACGTTTAGTGATATAGAGGTATATTTAGCTTATTTCTGAAAAATTTGTTTTTGGAATACAACTCTATCATATACATATGTTTGAATTTGTTATTAAATATACCTACTATCCGTTTTGCTATAAGACAAATTAAAATTTTTCAAATTGGGGGAGGGGGTGAGAATTTTGAAAAAAATGATATTTTCAAAAAATCGGAGTACACTGTTATAAAGTACATTAAACATCATAAATCTTTTGTTTGAAACTTTTTTAAGTATTTTTTACCATTTCGGCGATATTAGCTCAGAAATATAAAAACTGATTTTTTTCAAGAGGGTGTTTTACCCCTTTAATGGCCGTATGGGCACGTATACAAAAATGCGTGTTTCTTATTTTGATCTAGACTACAAAATATTCCAAGCTCATCAAAATCAGAGTGTAACACTTGGGTAGGTTTACTTGTGAGTATCGTAACAAACGTCGATACATTGAAAAGGTAATTGAAACCAAAAAATAATTAATGATGAAGTATAATTGTATGCAAATTGTTCGTTCCAATTAAACGAAACAAAAATTAATAAAGATATTACGTGTGATGGATAATCAAGATTTCCCAAGAAATAAAACGATTTCATGGAACGATACGGTAGGAATGATAACAAATGTGGCTTATTCCTCCCCATTTCACGATTGTCTGGTAGTCAAAAGCTCGCGTGACGATGT